AACTGTGCGATATATATATATATATATATATTTTATCTCCATCTTTTTTTTTTGGTTCTCATCGGTAAACGAATGTCACTGCTTCGCCCCTCACTGAATATATACATATATATATATATATGTATATGTATATGTATATAATGTTATTATTATATTAGAAGAGAAGAAGGTGTGTACGTGTAATGATCCACGCACAAGCACAGTCTATTTTCCTTACCGGAGCAATGGAAGTATCTAAAGCAAAATATCTCTCTTGTATGTGTCTCTATATTTTCCTAAAGGGTCATAAACGCGAGATCCAAAAATAAGAGACAAAAAAAATAATGACAAAGAGAATCAGTCGGGACTGTAGACACGAGAATGAACGAAAAGGGGTCTTCACCGGAGAATAGAGCTAATGGCGCCCCCGTCACTTTGCTGCATTTTGTTTTGTTTTGCTGAGCGAGGTTTGGCATCAAGTTTTTTTTTTTTGGGGGGGGGGGTAGGGAAGAGAGATTGTGGATGGTTTTGTGCTCTTCCTGTTTGTTTGGAACCAAGACGTTTACCAGCAACGTGGCGAGATGAAGTCCTTATATGTGCATGCATGCCTTGTTTGTGTTTTCGGCTGCCCCTGTGCCGTTCCTTCCGCAAAACAAAAACAAAAAATACGTCTTTTTATTCGGCGTAAACTACACCAACTGCGAGGTTTTTTTTTCTCTGTGTGCGTCATCTTCTTCTGTTCGATCTACGTCTTTTACGTACGAGCCCAGCCGCGCTAGAGTGTGTGGGGGGTGGCAGGGAGGCAGGTCGGCGGTGGATCCACCTTGTACCGTAGATGACTTTTGAGTTTCAGCTGCATGAACCGCCCTGCGACCTCGCGTTCCTTGCCGTTGTCAATGGACCGGTCCTGTACAATGCGGACGACGCCACAAGCGGGACAGTAAAGCGTGCAACGATTCGTCAACTCGGCTGGCACGTGGTGCGGCTACCGGAGGAGTGGTTCTTCTCGGAGAAGTCACGCGCGATGACGGAGAGGGTGTGTCACGCAATGCAGTGCACCATTCAATACCTCGCCTACCGTCAGAGGGGTCTCGAGGCGGAGGTGGCGGATGCGCGGGGAAGGGCGGATGAATTACGCGAGGAAAGAGATGAGGTCTTTGAGGAACTCGTGGCGTTGCGGGAGGTGGCTGCACGGATGCGGCGCCGCTGTGCACCGAACGGCCAGGATGGGGTTGGCGCCGAGGCAGCCGCACCGCACCACCCCTTGCGCGTCGACAGTTCCGGACGCTCCTTCGCTTGCCCCTTGTGTGGAAATGGCTACCCGTCCTCCTCGTCGCTGGAGTCGCACGTGAAGAAGCGCCACAACCGCGGAACACACTATGCAGCAATGACGGCAGCCGCGGCTGCGGTGCAGAACAAAATAGTGAAGGATATGTCTTTGCCAAGCGACACATTGATACGAGAACTCGCGTGTTTAAGGGAAGAAGTGATTACCCTTCGTGAGGCGATGACGGTTGAGCAGGAGAAGAGACGGCTGGAAACGAAATCCTCTTTTTTCTCACCTGTTAATGTTCTCGCGGTACCGGCGCAGCAGCTTCCAGGCAAGCCACCCGGGGCCTCCCCTCCGTCATCGAGGCACCAGGAGGAAAAACTAATCGACGCACTGCAAGACGAATTACGGGACATGCGGTCTCGTGTGCAACACATGGAGGGGATGATGTATCACTCGACTATGAAATTGGGCGGCGGACGTGGGAGACGCTCAGGTGGGATGGAGGAGGCTACGTCGGGGGAGGTGCGCCTAGCCTACGCCGACTCGTCTCCCCTGGGGCTGAAGCGTCCACCTTTGACTTCATTTGCCTCCGCGAGCTCGGCCCACTCTTTCAACTGTTACCCCCCTCGTGTTCCCGCCACCCCTGACACGATGCACGCCAAAGACTTCTCCAAGGAGCAAGCAGACGTTGTTCCACGCCAAACAGAAGCTTCGGAATCCAAGAGTGCGCTAGCTGCGCCAGACTGTCGCAGTCCCACCTTTTTTACGGGAACTTCACCACAATTGCCGCGGCTAAACCTCAAGCCTTCCTCTTCCCTGTCTATGGTGGGGGATGATAAGACGTCATCGGTTGCAGAACTCGAGCCGAAGCGCTCAGTATCACCACAAGGGCAAGAGGAACGTGCAGTGCTGGGGGCGCAAGGCTCAGTGATTACTAAGGCGGAGGATACAGGCGAGTGTGCTGCAGTAAAAGACAATGGGCCTTTAGAAGCAGCACCCTTTCTTCGTTCCGATGGCTTGGATCCTAGCATTTTCAATACTCCTAATATCGGTACCCTTAGTGGAAGTGGTTGCTGCTCGTCCCAGAAGATGCCCATGGACCAGACAGACTCTGCGAGCCAAGTGCGAGCAGAAGAAACAAACAGCGTAACGACGGATGGACACAACGCATCGGGGGGAGAAGATATCGATGAGGTCACGGAGCAAAAGAAGCAAACGGAGTCCTTGTTTTCCTCTTCACGAGGTTCCTCGGGCAGCTCTGTGCTCAATCCCGATAGATTAATTGGCTTTCAAGAAGTTCCTAATTGGACTCCACTCAACTCCTACGTCAGTTCCCCAGCATCCACTGCGCAGCGGGAACCCCGAGATGCAGGAGGGTCAGCACCGGGCTTTACTATCAGCTCGTACGGCCCACGCAGCGGAAAGGACGTGAAGTCCGGCATTGCAGTTACCGTTGGCGAGAAGCAGCGAAAGGAAGAAGAGAGTGTTGAGGAGAAGCGACCTGCCATAGATCGCAAAGAAGCACCATTGAAGGCTGTTAGTTCTGAAAAGAGTAAAAAAGGGAAATTGTCATTCTTCTCCAAAATCTTCAAGAAGCATAAGAAGTGAGTTTCACTTGAGTTCAGTGCCATAGAAGGATGTTTTTGTTAGACACATATATATATATATATATATATATAATCTCCCGACAATGTGTTTATTTGAGTGAGTTGTGACAAGGGTCGTTAAATCAGGCACCAGTTTTCGCGTCTTGTACAGGAATTATTGCGCATAAGAAACTCCTTCCAATTCTTCTTTATTGGTTACTTGTCGTATTTCCAATTCCTCTTTTGCGTGACTCTTTTCCCGGTGAGTTTGATTTGATTTCCTTTCTTATGTGTGTTTGTTCTTCTTTCTTCTGCTCTTTCTGTGGATCGTGGTGTTAGTTAACTGGAGCCCTCTTCCAGAAGAGTGTTTAATGGAATACGCCTGGCACGCCGCGATCGTTGTCCGCGTTGTATCACCTCCACTTATTTCCCTGTGTTTGTCTTCCTGCCTCGCAAGGCCTCACATCTTCAGCGGAACCAGCAATTACAGGCCCGTCGTTTTTCTGTCATCAACTGAGCTCTGTTACCCGTTCCCGCCAGATGTCCCGTTGTTTGGTTTGACCGGTAGCTGCCCGTCTCCCCGTAACTTTAGCTCTTTTTTTTTGCTTTTGTTTTTGCTTTTTCCTTGAACTTCTGTTGCAAACCCCCCGTCCTCCGTACCATTTGGGATGTCTCTCAGCTCTTTTATGTTGTCTTCCTCTCCACCCCTGTCGGGCCGCCGGCGTGTGTGTGGATCGGCGGGGCCTATTACGCCGCTAAGCAGTTCTACTCTCTCATAGGGTCTGGTGAAAAGTGGGTCGAGGAGTGGGTGCCGACAGGGTTGGCGATGACGTTGGCACGCGCACTGAGGGCCTGGACAGCTCCCATGGCGCAGGTGCATCGCCCACGCGACGGCATTCGTGGGTTGGTGGCGAAACGACGGTTTCAACGAGGCGATCTGCTGATGGATGTGCCGCTGCGTTACTGCTACCTCCCACATGCCTCGCGTGACCCCCGACGACTACGACGTTGGAACCGGTCCGCACTTTTCCCAGAAGCTCAGTTCTGGCTGCGGCGGCTCTCTCCCGATGCGCCAGACGAAGGCGTCTCCCTAACCGCCTCTGTCTCGACAGAAGACAAAAAGGTGATCACGCTCACCCTCTCGCCTGTGGAAGCCTCAGTGGCCGTTTCGGCGGCACTTCGGTACTTTTGGCGGAAGGTTGTTTTGCTGAAGAACCGAGAGGGCGTCGGCAGGCCCCCGCTGGGTCCACCGAATTTTCATCCGGCGGATCTGTATCTTCACGCTCTTCCCATAGAAAAGTATTTGTCGTATGGCTTGGAGGGACCGTACTTTTCTGACGTCGAGGAGGAAGCCAATGTCCACTCCAACATCGAACAGATTGCATGGAATCTGCGGGATTGCATACTTTCTTGTGCCCCGCAGGAAGAGTACGCTTTTTACGACGCACATCCGTCGGAATTGGATGCGACGCTGCTTGCGGCAATCTATGTTCTGCGTGCACGCTTGTTGCGGATGGCAGCTGTTTTTGGGGATGACCAGGCCTCTGATCGTGTAACATCTGTCATTGCACCTATCGTGGATTTTTTGAACCACGCTTCAGTCGGCCATAATTGCGCCGCCTGTGTGAGCATCCCACGGCGCGCCGTTGTGGTTCGAGCAGTCAGGGACATTGGCGTCGGCGAGGAGCTGACGCTCGACTACCGTGGTCGAGGTCAGTTGCGACGAGGTGCAACTCAAAACTCTTGGGGAAAGTCGGGCGCCGAAGAAGCGGAGGAGAGCGAGAACTGGTGGGAGTCGCGATACCTCTTCTCCGCCAAGGAGGCATAGACTGTGTGTGTGTGTGTATGTCTTCCTTTGCAGGTGTGCACTCATCTCCCTACACACACCGCATTTCTCCCACTTCAGCCAAGCGCCTTTCTTGTGATTGCCGCCGCCGTCTCTTTCTGTGCATTTATCTCCGACTGGCTCTCACTTGGGGGGACGGCGTACTAAGAAACAACGACATTGCCCTTCTGCCTTTGCCTCTTCGTTGCTGTTTTTTTTTCTCTCCTCTCTCTCCCTTCACCCACACACCCACACGCACGGCGTTGGCTCCGAAAGTGAGGGGGGAATTCCCTGCTGCGAGGAGTGAGGGAGAGTGGAGTAAAGGCACAAGGAGGAAAAGGGGAGGCGCCGGGAATTTGGCACGCTGTGCATGTGGTCCAAAGTCTTCGCCCCTCTGCTCCCCAACCGTCTTGCACCGGCGCAGAAGTTTCCACAGCTGAAACTTCGCCCGCAGCAGCACCGTCTCCTCACCCACGAACGCCAATGCGCCATTTCACTCAGCTCGTTTGATGCGAACAGCGTGGAGTTCGCTCGTCGCGAGATCGCCACTGGAAGCATCGTGGAGGTGCGGGATTCGGATCGCCACCAGCTGCTCGCGTTGGGCTTCTACGAGCCGACGCTTCTTCGTGTGGAGGTGTTTCATACGACACCCAAAGCGGTGGCCGAGTTGCCTATCATTGGCGAGGACTTTTTTCTAAGGCGATTGCGGGAGGCGTGGGGGAGGCGTCGGCGCGCGTTTGGCCCAATGCTGCACGGTGACACTAACACGTACCGGGTATTGAACGGCACGGCGGATGGCATTCCATCTTTGTACGTCGACCTCTTTTCCTCCAGCTTTGCCCGCATTGTGGCAACTTCCTTTGGAGCTGAACGACTCGTTCCTGCCGTGGCGGAGTACTTGAGGCGCCAGGGGGCTGAGCAGCTGCTGCTAGATACGCCGTACCTGAAAGACCGTGAAAAGCTTACCCTCGTTCATCCCACCATTCCTCTCTCAGCAGTGTACCTTGAGAACGGTACGAGACACCTCTGGGTTCCCCAAGCGGAAACCCCTGCAACACGAAGTAATAGGTGGCTGCTTAACCCCGCGCATCGCAGGATACGTTTTATGCTCCGTGAGCTCTGTCGGGGCAAACGTGTTTTGTGCGTTAATGACCGTAGCGGGTCGGCGGCCCTGAATGCCGTGATGTCGGCAAAGAGTGTGCTGATTGCCGAACCAGATGATGCCCTGGTAAACCGTATACGGGAAAACTTGGTGGCCAACCACGCTGCGGCAGTCTTCAATGTCTGTGAAACCACCACCTGTGCACGTATCCAAGACTTGGACGCCCGCCGACAGGATGTGGTTTATTTGGAGCATCACCCTGACCAGTTGTCCTCTGAGGAAGAATGGCGGACAGCACTGGCTGCGTTGCTGCGGCAGCGAATTTGCGGTGCGGGGACTCTGCTCTTTGTGGCGCAGGAGGCCGCTCCGCTTGGCATTTCAGATCTCCTGCAGCAGCAATATTCAGACGCACGTGTTGTACCCGCGCAACGGGAAGCGGTTGCCGCGGCCCTTCGTGCTGCTGCTTCCGAGCACAATATGAACCTCCGGCAGCTTCGTGCATTTGGTCCTTCTGTAGATTACCCCGTTCCACCGACGGCCGACGCACTGTGTTTTTCACAGGTGTTTCTTGTGGAAAGAAACTGTTGAGGTTGGGAATTGGAGCAACTACCTTTGAGGAAGGGAAACGGGGGCCGGAGCGAACGGTTTCCACGCCTCCCCCAGCAAAAAAGTTTGTTGTTGTTTTTTTTTTTTTTATGGGGGGGGGGGGGGAAGCGTGGACTCCTCGCTAGTTTTGCGTGGCGTCTATTCACACATACTTACATACTTGTGTCGCACCTATTCGCTATTTCGTTGGCTTTGTTGGGTGTATGTGTGCGTGGTGGAAAGGGAGGGGAGGCCATACTTTGCCCTGAACTGAGCCTCTGCTTTCTTTAAAACCTTCTTTCTTTCTTTGCGGGGCGCTTCTCTGGGCGAGGTTGTCTGGATGTAGAGGGCGAAGTGGAACTGTGAAAGGATGCAGGCAGATGTGGGCGTTTCTGACTGGGAGACGCGGCCGTTTGACGTCGTCCAGCCAATGATTTGTGAAACCATTAGGCGGCTTGACGAGGCAGTGGGACGACCACCGTTCCCCAATCCCTCAACAGAGCAGTGCCGCTCACTGGCGCAGTCGCTTGTTCACATGCTGCGTCACACACAAAATAGCGGCCATATGATAGCCCTGGCCGAGGCTCCTGAGGTGAACATGACGTTCCCGGTCCTCTGTGCCTCCTTAAAAAACGGATCGGAGGGGCAAAAGCCGTGTCCAGTGCTGCTGGAGCTTCTTCTTGAGGCGTTGACGTACGTGCACGCACTTTCCTTGTATCCGCTGCAAACCACGCTGAAGGATGCCAGGGAGGTGTTGCCAAAGTCCCCTGTGACATTTAAACTCTTCACTCTGACAGGCGCCATGGAGGTGGACACCATGCGGTTTTTTCTCGGCATGAGTCCCCCAGCAAAAGTGGAGCCGAAGGAACGAAAGCCCTTAAAAGGAAACCACCGGGCGGCAGGACGCAAACCGAATTTATCATTGAATACTCACGGCAACCCCAAGGAGGGGGTGACTGCCGTTTCAAGTGAAATGCTCAACGCTGCATTGGACATGGTTTTTCCACCTGATTGCACGGAGCTGCTTTTATCACTCTTTAATACCCCAGCCAAGTTCCAACAAGTCATTGGCACGGATAGTGAGTTGGCTGCCCGTGTGCTGGGCGTGTATGGCGACTACCTACTTCCAACTTTACGCCCCCTAACCCTTCTTCACTCACTGGATGCGTCGCTCCTTGACGTCTTTGTTGACGTTGTCCAGATGCATGGTGAGCGCATGACTCTACTCACAGAGTCCGTCTTTACACGTGTTCCTTTGCTGGAATGGGGCCCCGAGCGATTGTCAGGTCTTCTTCGCTGCTGCGTGGATCGGAACGTGCGGCATGAGGGGGCCTTTGCAAGTCTAGTGGTGTACGTCTTTCTCTACAAGTTGCTGGTCCTGTGGGGGGAGACGCAAAGTTTGCCCTTGCTCACCGTCGAGGAGGAGGCGAAGCTGTGGGTCTCCGTGTTGAAGGTGGTGCAGATGCTGTCGCTTAACGTGGGCGCCGTCCCGACGGGCGAGGTAGAACAAGTTGTCCAACCACTCAGCGTCCTTGCCGAATTTGTACGGCGGCGGTACATGATAACAGAACTGAGGGAAGTGGCGTCTGCCGTGCCGCACGCGGCCGTGAGACCCGTATTGGAGATGCTGGCAGCCTCGCCGGCGGGGAGAGAGAAGTCGATGCCCGCTCCACCCGCAGGAAGCGGTGGGGGTGGAGGAAATAAAAAGAAGGGAGGAAGGCACAGTAGCAGCAGCGGCAACAACAACAACAAAGACAGAGCATCCGCGTCGTCTTCCCGCGCGGATGCCTTGGACTATTTTAGCAAATGCATCGCAGATTCCTTTGCTCTTCTTTTTTGCCTGACACCACCATCTGCCGTGGAGGCGGACGCCTGTACTCCGGAGTGTATTGTGGAGTCCCTGGCTGCGCAGCTCCTCCAGATTGCGGAGTGTGGTGATGGCAACGTGCCGCGGGCCCGTACGTGGGAAAGCTACCTGAACCTCCTCCTCTCAATCCTAAGCCCCTGGAAGGACGCTGCTCATGCGACGTGGATGGGGCAAAGAACCCTGTCCGCGCTTCGCTCTGCCATGGCGGCAACCCGTCGACTGGAGTGTTGCGGAATCATCGCGCAGCGGATGCCTGACGTCTTCGCCCCACCGCGATGGACTCCAAGCGACTACAAGGCGCTCCTTGAGACCTGGCTGAGAGGAGTTTCGCGCGTGGATGGCTTCTACGCACCCGCTGCCCCACTGACGCCCACAGAGTATGTCGAGAGCGTCCTCCGCCTCCTAGGCGACGATCGACGCCGCGAGTTGGTGCAGCTGCTGCTGGGCGCAGAAGAACTGGCGGGAGCCCTCATCCCTGCATTGCAGAAAGCGCTGACCGAGGAGCGTGCCGACAATCCTGCAGAGATGGTGGTAACCACAACAGCCGCAGCAACGGGGCGGAGGGGCTTCCGGCAGCTGCAGGATGAACTCCTCAGCACCGCGGAACTCCGAGCGAAAGCAATGGCGGAACACAAGCAGAGAGCGGATGAAGCAAAAAAACGTCAGCTGCTGGCGGAGGCGCAAAGAAACGAAGCAGTAATGGTGAGATCGAAAGCCTTTGAGGAGGAGCAGCGGAAACTTCGTTGCATGAAGGATGAGGAACTCCAATGCATTTCAAGGCTAAGAGAGGAGCGGGAAAAGGAAAGTGAGGAGCGGCGGGTAAAGGAACTGCAAAATCGTCTGGAGAGACGCGAAAAAGCCGCTGCAATTCTACAAGAAATGTCTGCCAAGACGAAGGCGGAGCGCTTGACAGAGCAACGAGAGCGTTTGCTGCGGTACCGTGAGCGTGTCGCCATGGACTCCCGTATTTCGACTTTTTTGGAGCATTTACGGCTGACTCCGTCTAGGATCATGCACCTGTTGGCGACGTTACGCCCACACCTCCAGGGCATGACGTACGATGATGTGTTGGAGTTTGTCGTGACGGGAAACCGCAAGGTCCCCAGTGACTTGCTCGCCGTTGATGAGCAGAAGAATAAACTGTGTCGTGATGGCAACGCACGCGCCGGGGAAGCCACGAGGAGTGAGGAAGAAAAGTTGTCCTACTTTGCGGATGAGGGCCCTACCTTCTGGGACAGTGTGATGCAGCTCGTGGCGCGGCAATCGGGTGACAAAACAAGAGACAACCACGTTGTTGCCGGGGAGGAGGAAGGTGAAGGTGCTTTGCCTAGCGAAAGTTATGGTCTTTCTTTTCATCGAAGCGTAAGTGCGGTTCTTGACCTTTTTGACTACACCATGGGGGCGAGTGAGACGCTGCCCGAGCCGCTGCCTTCATTGAACGTGCGGGGTGCCTCCCGAGTACTTGAGAAGGAGGCGCTGACTGGCACTGGATTTGGTAATGGACGAGAGGCGCTGTTGGCTTGCCAACGACGGGGGTTGTGCGTCGTGCGAGACAATCTCTGCACGCTGACGCCATTAGGATTCCGCTACCATTACCCCTTCCATGACCCGGAACAGACGCTTGGAGTACAGCTTGCACGACGGCGCGATAAAGCAAGAGCGATGATGGCGGACCGGCAATGCGCCGACGTTGGTGATGACGCAGGGGAAGAGGAAGAGGAGGAGGACGATGAGGATGCGTTGGTGACTGGGGAAGCATATGACGAAGCCATGACATCCTTTGCAGAGGACAACATGGTTTGCTTTGCAGATGAAATTGTTTGATGCCGAGGGGCCAAACGGCGAAGATGAAACGCGTGAGCGAGTTTCGTATTGCTTCTCATTCCGCCCCACTCCTTTTATTATTACTACTGTTATTGTACTGCTGCTGTTTTCACCTTCTTCGCTACTATTACTATGGCTGCGAATTAACGTGCGTGACGCCTTCACTTCATGTGTGTCTCTTAGCAACAGCAGTGGGCGAGGGGGGAAGCCGGGACTTGCCGCCGAAAGGCCGAGGGAATTTTGAGGGTGTGCATGTAGGGGGAGCGATGGAAGAGGGCAGTGAGGAACTCTTCCTTGATGACGTCCACAGTGACGGAACCTCTTCCTGTGACCTCCCTGCAGCGCAGCCAAAAGAAGAACAGGTGGAGGAGTTGGAAGAAGAAGAAGAAGAAGGGTCTGCAAGTGTTCCGTACTTGGCGCCGCCTCGGCTAGTGGCGTTTGGCGCAGTGACTTCTTCTCATCATACCTCTGCCCGCAAAGACGAAATTGACGTCACAGCAGAAGCTGTGGAAGACTGCCCTGCCGCTCACTATGGCACACAAAAACCCGATACAAGGCAATCGGATGTTGTGCTGGAAGCAGAAGCAGAAGAAGATAAGAGCATACTGCAGGTAAAGCTTGAGTCTCTTTTTGACGAACCTTCAACCGCTACTTCTGCAGCTTCTTCTTCGCAGACAATCCCGGTATGCAACTATCTTCTGCGAAACTACCTAGGTGTCGGCTCTGGCCAGTTCCGTCAAGGCCAACAGGAGGTGGTGTTGTCAATACTGCAGGGACGCAACACGCTGGCTGTGTTCCCCACAGGATGGGGCAAAACGCTTTGTTTCCAGTTTCCTATTCTCGTTCATCGCCTGCTCTTCGAAGCCAAGTTCAGGGCCTGGCAGGAAGTACAACGCTCAAGCAAATCAGGGGCCCAGCGCGAACCCCCAGGAGCCCTATTTGCCGTTGTTGTGTCTCCACTGCTTTCCCTTATGGCCGATCAAGCTGTTAAAATAGCCAGTGGCGGAAGCCTAAGAACGGCCGTACTCTCCTCCGGTACATCGTCTTCGCGGGAGAAGACGATTTTGGACGACTTGGCCTCCCCGATGTGCTCCATTGATCTGTTGTTTGTGTCACCCGAACGGCTTGTCCGTCACAGTAAACTGCGAGGTGTGTTGGAGCAACATGTGCGTCGAATCGCATTCATTTGCGTGGATGAAGTACACTGCGTGTCCCAATGGGCATACGACTTCCGTCCCTCCTTCATGTACGTGCACCGCGTATTAGACCGCCTCGGTAACGGTGGAGGGACAAATTCGCCCCCGTTTTTGTGTCTCACGGCGACGGCGGCACCATCGGTTGTTGACGACCTCAAAGTTCTGTTTCGCATCGAGCGAACTGTTACGGTGCCGTACCGTCGTGAGAATCTCCAATTAGAGTCGGTTTTTTTGCTGGAGTCTGAGCCGCAAAGACCTCCCACGCAACGCGCTCTGCAGGAGAAACTCCTGCATGCCGTGCTAGAACTACCAAAGCCAATGCTCGTGTACGTCCAGACACGTGTGGATGCAGATGAATTGGCAACGTTTCTTGCCTCCAAGCTTGGCACCGTGCAGAGTGTCAAGAAGGGAAACGGTGGGAATGGCGCGTCTTCCTCCATCTTTACAAGTGCCACACATGAGAAAATGATAAGTAAGGGAGGTTTACAAAGCGAGGAGGGTAAAGAACGCATCATCATTCGAAGTTACCACGCCGGCCTTGACCAGCACGTACGGACAAAGACACAACAGCAGTTTATGCAGCGACATATCGATGTGCTTATCGCCACCGTCGCCTTTGGGATGGGCATTGATAAGGCTGACATCCGCTCCGTGGTTCACGCCTCGGCGCCGGGCTCGCTTGAAAGTTACGTGCAAGAAACCGGTCGTGCAGGGCGTGATGGTCAGAACTCGTTCTGTCGTCTTCTGTACAACCCGTTTGATTATTACACGCTTCGTTCCCGCATTCTCGCGTCCTGCCTCTCCCCGTTAGAGATGCAGGCCATCGTGCATCGTATTCTTAGCAGTCCCATCACTCAAGTTGGGGAGAAGCTCACGATGATTTCCGTCTCGAAAATTTCAGAGGAACTTGTTATGAGTGAAGAGACGGTGGAAACTGTCCTTTTTATGATTATTTCCCAGGAACATGGGGTGTTGCACGAGTTGCATGGGACGGCACCGATGGGGTACCGTGTGAATCACGCCGCTGCAGAGGTGGTTGTCAGCGCTGACCAGGCAGCAAAGCGAAAGCGGGGGCGCGAGGCAACGGGACCGTCAGGCGTCAGCGGCGTCTTGGCGCAGCTCGAGGTCCTGGACGGAGTCTTCGAGTTGTGCCGGCAGGGTAAAAGAATTGAAAACGTTGTGACCGCGGCGAATGCGTTAAAGTTGTCGTTGCGTGATTTTCAGTTTAGGCTCAATGATCTTATCGCGGGGGGCTTTGTCTCGGTTCAGCGGCTTACGCCGGCTTATATCGTCTCGCTTGGAGACAAATTTTCTGAGGCGGCCGCGCCTGTCGGGCAGAAGGCGATGGCGGAAAGACTCTGGCAAACCCACCACAAGCGACTTGAATCCATGCAGAGAGCGCTTGAGGTGACCTTCTCCGTCTTGCGGAACCCGACGCATGCGTCCGTGTGCAAAGGTCTGGAGTGGGACGTACGGCAAACCCCCGATGCGCGGCACTTCGCACTGGCGTGGCAACCCCCACCGAGGAGCCTCACCAAAGTGGAGGCCGTCTCCATTGCGAATGATTTTGTTGAGAAAAATCGTCCCCGCATTCGCTCTGTGTATGAGGCGACCCGGGCACTCCTTGGCGTCCTTCCCAAGCCACTGACGAGTCACGGGAAGCACGCCGGTGAAATTCCGCTTGGCACGAGCTGGTACGTGGGCTCGCCATACTTTGGCCTGTTGAAGGAGTTTGATCTGCAGTGGCTGCTGAAGGTGCTCGCCCCGCACAGACTGGACGAGGAGGGGTCAATGGAGATGGCCAGTCGAATACCGACTGTGACACAATAAAGTCTCCTTTTCAGCGCAGTTTGCGCATCTGAGGCGCGTTAGGCTTACTTGTGCGAAGAAGCATTGTAGTTAGCGTGTCTTCCGGGGGAGCGAGGCGCACAAACTTCCTGCATTGATGTAGCTCATATCTCTCCTCCTTTTACTCTCTTTCTCTTTATCTCATATATATGTAAATAAATAAATAAGACCCCTGCAAAGAAATAAAAGGAGGGGAATACTTCACACGTAGAAGCAAGCAAACTAAAAGGTGGAGATGAAGTGCTGTTGTCGATTGAGAGGGCAGCAGGCGGCGGTGGCGGTGGCGGTGGCGGTTGGGCTGGGAGAGGAAGCGCAGGAGAAGCGACCCTCGCCCTCACCAGAGCAGCCAGTCTACTTGAAGCCAAGCCGAAGCCGACGCCGTAAAGCAAGTTTTCTCTTCACGCGCATGCGTGATGAGCCACCTGCGTACGCATTCAAGGCGCCTCCGCTTGGCACGGCATTACCACTTTTCCGCATCACCTCCTCTTCATGTGAGTACTACGCCCTGCGGCTGCCGCTTTTGAAGGCGGGTTTTAGGCGCCTTCCCACCCAGGCCGGCCTTACGATTCCGAGCAACCTCCTCTGGGGGCGCTCCATGCTCTTGAATCCCGGCATGGGAGCATCCCACTCCTCTGCCCACCTCTCCCCGTCATCACCGCCCTGTTCGTCGTCGTCGTCGCGCCTGCCTCAAACTGCGGACGCTTCTGCAGACCTTATCGCCCTTCCCATGTCATCTGCCGCGGGAAACGAGGGGGTGGCGCGCCTCAGCTTGGCTCAAATGGTGTGCGATCACCAGCGCTTTAATCACTTCCCACGCAGCCATATTAACGTGGGCTGCAAGTGGGGGCTAACAACACGCCTGCGCCAAGTCTCGAAATCGTTCGAGGCAGCTGGAGAAAAAACGAGACTCTACGATTTTTTTCCACGCACATGGGTGTACCCAGACGAAAAGGAAGAGCTTTTAAAAGCTTTGGCGGAGGCACCGCCCATGCAACGTTTTATTTGGAAGCCCGCACGAGGCAGCTGTGGTCACGGCATACTTACCTGCTTAGGTGGTGCTAGGAATGCACCGTACTGGGAGCGTCTGGCGGCGGAAATCGAAAACCGCCTGCTGACGGATCTCACACTCTCTGGCGCGGGGGGACGCAAGTACGTTGTGCAGGAATACATTGAGGATCCCCTGTTGCTTGACCGGCGCAAAACCGATCTTCGCCTGTATGTGGCCGTGACAAGCTACGACCCTTTGACCGTCTACCTTCATGAAGAGGGCCTTGTGCGTCTGGCGGCGCAGGAGTATAGCGGCGGTGGTACTGAACTGAACTTTGATCCCTTTCGCGATCTCACAAATTATTCCGTGGGAAGGCGCTGGCAGGCACGCGGTAAACAGTCTCGCAGCCAAGGAGAGGAAGAGGCGAATTTGTCGCCAGACGTTTCTCCCGCTGCGAAGCCGCTGCCTCCATTGGAGCTCAAGAAGAGTTTAAATGAACTGTGGGAGCATATTGACGCTATGCATTTCTCTTCGCCGCGCGTCGGGCCGGCGACGGCAACGCCGCTGAGTTCCCTGTTGCACCGCCGCAGGTCGGAGAAAGTGAAGGAGGAAATTGCGCGTGTAATCATCAAGACGCTACTGGCGGTCAAGGCTCCCTTGTCTGCTGCCGCGTGTGGTCTCTCCTTTCCGGGTGGGTTTTTTGAACTCTACGGATTTGACTTGATGCTCGATGCGAAGCTCAAGCCATGGCTTGTCGAGGTGAACACATTGCCCTCCCTCGCCAGCACCTCTCCTTTTGACTATGCGGTAAAGACGAATGTCGTGGCCGATCTTCTGAACCTTGCCATGTTTGAACCCTTTGAGCGCCCCGCATCGTGCTTTGGCGCGCTGGATGACGGGATGCGCCGCGCCGGCCTCCTTGACCCACTCTCGAAGGAGGCTGCCGAAACGGTGCATCAGTGGTGTGACCGCACGAGTCGCGACAGCCCATCGTTGACAGATAGTGAGGCCAGAGAGGAAGTGGGCCTTCGTCTACAGGACGAGTTGGCCTACTGCGGCGGATTCCGTCGCATCTTCCCACCGCTGCCTCTGGCGCAAACAACAACCATGATGAACGAGGTGGACGTTTTCTCTCGTCAACGCCATTTCTCCAAGGCTGACGCGTGGGCCCTAGAGTCATAACACGCGAACCCTGCGTGACTGCGTCCAGTAGTTTTTTTTTTCTTCGTGTGTGTATGTGTGTCTGTCTGGCCAAAGTATGACCTCATGCCGGGCAGGCACACATACAGATGCAGACTGGCAGACATCAACATTATTGCATTGTGACAAGAAGGCTAGAAAAATATATATATATGAAAGATAAAAAAGGAACGAGGAGAGAAGCGTTGAGCTTGAGAGCGACGGAAACGTCTTACCGCGGGCTATCGTGAAGGTCCATATATAAATACGCTCTCTTATGCGCATCCCGACCTGCCTCCATAGATCTGCATATTACAACTTAATTGACTGTATCCGCATGCATGAAGTATGCATCTGTCCGTGTCTGTGTACGTTTGCATTATTCCTTATATGCTTTCTTGAGTTTTTTTTGCTTGTAAAAAAAAAGTCATTTAGCCAACTGGCAGTAAAGGTGACATAGCTGGGCAGAAACGCGGAGGGAATGAGCGATTCTTGCCCCCCACTGGAGCCCATCACAGAAGAGGAAGCCGCACTTCTCACTGAGTATGGTGTCAGGGGCCCTTATGATGATCTTTTAGGGTTTCCCGCGGCATCCACATGCGTTTTTGGCTACGGCGGGAGGAACGTTTTTCTCACTGGCGCGGGCCCGGCTGGCGACAATGATGGGGATAACAACCCAGACGAGGCTAACGCCGGAGCCGGCCAACATGTGGATCCCACTTGGCCTCTGGAGTGTGTTCTTTTGCGCCACACCAACCTCCTCTCCTCCGCCACCGCAACCCCCCTGTGGGACGGTGTCAATGGGGTGTTAACGGACGCCACGAAGACGGCTCTGTTCATGTCCCCCCGTCATGTGTCGTCGGTGGAAGGGCCGGAGGCTACAGCGGCGGATGCTGCCGCTTCTGCCTCTGCTTCTCTTGAAGGGGAAGAAGACGCGGTTGAAGCGAAGGGCGCTTCTCCCACCGCAAACCTCAACCTGCATGGGGAGAGTGACGCGCAGCTACTGGCCACCATGGACGAACTACTGCAAGAGGCAGACAACGCGCTGGCGAGGCGCGTGCGCCACGTGGATCCCATGGCGGAGGCTTGTGTGTTGGAGAGGCAACGTGCGGCGGAGGAGGAGGAGCGTCGCTGGTCTCCTATTTGCAGCGTCATCACAACAAATACTACCCCCAGAGGGAGTGACAGCAACTTTGACGATGAAGGCGAACTCAATAACGGAGATGGAGGGGCTGAAGCTAAAAGTCTCTTTGCTTATGAGTTTGGGCCGACGGCCGAGGAGCAGCTTGCACTGCGTGAGTGGGACGAGGTGGTGCTGCGGTGTGAGCGGCAGTTGGAGGTTGCGTTGAACAATTCGGTGGGCGGCGAAACGGGGCGCGGTGCCGACGATGACGCGATGGACACCGCTGCCGCAGCCTTCTTGTCGCCTCCGCTGCGGGCAGCGGAGGTGCATGATGCGGCGCAGACTCCTGCAACAACGCACCCGCCGTGGATGCGTGAGCAGAGCAGAATTCTGGAATCGATTGCAACGATGGAGACAAGAAACAGTGAGCTGCAGACGGCGGCGGTGCAACAGCTAGAGGAGGCGCGGCAGCAGCGCCGTCGCCCTCGCCATTCCCCCGCCTGGGCAAATTGAGTTTGAACAGTTCTTGACCCGCGTGAATGAACTTCTGCCACCGAGCGAAATGGAGTTGAAGTTGGAGGCCGCGGATGTCCTCAAGTTGGGGGTTGAGGTGGAGGCGGCGAGCGAAGAGCAGACGCCGGTGGCGGAAGCAAAGGATCTCGCACATGTGCTGAGTGCTGAGCAGATTCAGAGGAGGGCGCGGCGCGAGGGATTTCGTTTGCGCTGCGAAACCCATGAGGCTTGGTGCATGCAGGAGGAAGAGCGCAAGGCCATTCGTCACTTGCAGTGGTGCAGGGAAGAGGCAAAGCGGATCCAGGACGATATGCAGAGGTGTCTGGTAGAGGCGAGTAACGGGTTTGAGTGCCTTCTCGTGGAGGAGGGGAATGCGTACCAGGAGCTCTCGCAGCTCGAGCGCCAACACGCCCTGGAGTCCAAGCAACGTGAGCGTCGTCGTCAGGACGAGTTTAGTCGCCGGCGCGCGCATGAGCTCCTCAAGGAGCATGCAGGCATTCGAGATGAGATTGTGGCGATGGAGGAGGAGGCTGCGGTGAAACTTGGGCAGGAGGTAGAGCAACTTTCCCGGGAGCTATTGCGCCGCCACGAGCAGGAAAGCACCGCCCACGTTAGTACCACTCCGCCTTCCTGGAATTCCGCAGAATGGAGAGAGAACTACGGCACTCTCGAGGAGATAACAAAGGAAGTCGCATTGCAAACCACTGTTGCGTCATGGAGGCGTTTGCAATCGTGCGGCCCCGGCACAACACCGCAAGCGTGTTTTCCTCCTTCCCCTCTGGGCAACGCCCTTCGTCTGCGGTCCCTGGAGCGAGAGGAAAACCAGAGGAGCAAATGGGTGCAGGAGTGCATGCAGAATATAAGTAGTGCCGCGTGTGCATTGGGGGAATCCACGCATGGCGTAGCTGAGAGGACAGGGCATCCTCCTCAGCCAGGCATTCGACTTGGAAATGGTGCTTGTGTCACTCTCTTCACAGTGCAGCCGGATACTTCGTGTCCGTCGTTAGAAAACACCACCGTTTGTTTAGATGCCAAAATGGCGAAGCAGCTACAACCGATTGCTTTTGGTGGTGTGAAGAGAAACTTGCAGGAGGCGGCGCAGGCTTGTCATACGCTCTCCTTTGCTCTGGAGCAGATAGCCTCAGTGGACTTTGCCAGCCTCTCCACTCTGGAGGTGTGCACCGCCGGTGGTGTGGGCGAAGGCAAGGAGAAACGCACGGCACCTGTCGCCCCCTTAGTGCAGGAGCTTGACCTGGGCGGCAACGCCCTTCACACCTTGCCCCTCGACGACCTCTTGCGTGTGTTCCCCTCGATCCGTAGCTTGAGCGTCAGCGACAATGGACTGAGACATGTGACGTGTCGCGCCGCATCCATGCGTGGAGTATCCGACGCTCACGCTCACTCTTTGGCTCAGTCCTCCCAACTTTCTCACCTTGACGTCTCTATGAATGAACTACAAAGCTTAGAGGCCATTGGGAAGCTTCTTTCCTATCAGCTGCGTTCACTTGTAGCGTATGCGAACCATATCGACTCCTTGTTGCCATTGGCCTCATGTAATCATCTGGAGACCCTTGAAGCAAGCCGTAACCAAATTTCCTCGCTCTCTGAACTGCAGCCTCTTGCCCTGCTACAGACCGTCGACCTGAGTGAGAACTGCATCCTGACGTGGGATGCCCTCGCCCAGCACGTGTTGCTGCAGAATTTGTATCTCTCGCGAAATCGTATTGGGGTGCTTCCAAAAACCATATCCCTCAGCTTCCTGCGCCAACTCTTCATGAATGAGAACCAAATTGAGGCGCTTCCAAGTGAATGTTTTCGCTGGCTCCCTTTTCTCTCGGTGCTGCACCTCGAGAACAACAAGTTGCGTGACGTCTCCGGCCTGGCGCACTGTCCACGCCTGACGACTGTGGGGCTTGCATTTAACCAGTTGCAGCGCGTGGAGGATCTTGCCCCGCTTGCAGCGTGCAAAAAGTTGCAGGCTTTGTCTGTTAGTGAGAACCCATTTAGCTCCGAGATCGATGGCAGCAGCGGCGGGATGCCCGCAAAGGTGAAATTGACGCTGCTCGCCTGGTTTCCACAACTCTCTGAGCTCAACAATGAGAAGGTGAACGATGAAGAATGCAGAATTGCTTTGGGCGATGAAATAGTGTGGAGCGCATCGTTTACCATGGCCCATCGGTTGCGGCGAGACTTCCATGAAAGCGCCGTTTGCGACACCTGGCGTTGGCCTTGTGGATCAACCATTGAAGATGTACAGCAAATGTGTGGCGCTATGGAATTCTGTTCGCGGTACGTGGATTCGAAAGCTGCGTACGCCGCGATGTTCGCCGCCCTCACAAGTGATGTGGCCCTGACAACTCTCCAAAAGGAACAAGAGGTTCTTGCCACTGTTCGCCGACGGCGCCATCATGATGCGCTGCATGTGGAGGAGGCGTTGAAGCGACGACTGCGTGAGTCGCAGCAGCGGCTCAACCCTGTTGTGCATCGCCTCTCCGACAAGGTGGATGAGCGAAATCGACGCGAGGCAAAGGCCACCCTGCGGCAACACCTGACATCCTTGCAGACGATGCCACATGTAGTGGCCAATCTGCACGTACGCCCTGTCCTTTACCATCAGCGGATGCAGGCACACCGAGAGGCGAAGGCAAAAGTTGTCATTTGTGAATGGGCGCGTCTTCGGCTTCTTGGGAGACGAGCCAAGAAGGAACTTGCAGCCCTGAAAGCGGCTTATGAGGAATCGCAGCGAAGACGATATGAGGCGGCCGCAGGTGTCATTCAGCCGGTGTGGCGGGGGGCGGCGCTTCGTTCGCGTCTGAAACGAATATTACACGCCAATGACGATGATGAGGAGGAATTTGCCCACGTTTCTCTGGACTTTATTGATGACTCGAAGGCAACAGACGGAGACGATGGCATTGGGGCTGTGCTGCAGCGAGTGCTGCAGTCTCATGGGGCTCTGCCGAACTTTCCCGTTCAAGCATTTTCCGCCAGGCTCCCTGGCGCCGCGGGTGTGTCGGAGGGTCACTTGCCGCCTCGTGCCAGTTCCGCGGTGCCAAACGGAACAGCTCGGATCGGCGAACAGGACAGGCAACGCCCGGAAAGTCAGCCGCAGGGTGGGACGACGTTGCTGCCTCAGCAGCGACTACAGCAAAAACAGGAGGAAGGAGTGGAGCAGTTGCCGCCGCCCTCTTCCCTGTCGGGATCAGCGCGTGTGGATGACGCGTGGGGGGCGATGGTGAGCTCACAGTTACGGAGGAGGCATAAAAAGATGGAACGCGCCCAGCGTGAGAATATGCGTCGTGAGTTCATGAAGGACCCTCTCAAGGTGAAACGGGAACTTGGGGGTGGATGAGGCAAGCACGTGGAAGGACGAGGCGGAGAGGTGGTGGTGGTGCTGGTGCTGGGTGGCAAAATGGTTTTTCCTTCTGCGAGAGAAGCAAAATGCAAGCACTGATTGCTTGTGAGGGATGATCTGAAGGGTCAAGCACCCACTTCAGTTAGTTGCACGTGTGTGCCTGTGTGTAGTTCGTTTTTTTGTTTGGTTTTTTTGTTTCTGTTCGCTCTCATTTTTGCTGGAGTTCCTCTTTTTTCATTTTTCCTTTTTTCCGGGCGTGTTGTTTCTATTGTGGGTGAAAGGGCTTACAGCCGCTTCTGATTTCCCTAGCGCGGTGCAGAGAAGAGTCCATTAGGTTGCCGTTCCGGGCGCTCTACGGCTCTGGGTACACTCAAGTGGGTGCCGCGCTGTGTGCTTCGCGCCCGTCACTTAACCCACAAAATTTCCTTCGTAGACGACAAGCAGCGGCAGGGTTCCTGCCTGGCACACTTCCGCTTCCATGTGCGGAAGGTCTTTCTCGCCCTGGTCATGACTGTCGGATATTTTCGCAAATTCCTCAGCATCATCGGGGTTTGGAGGGACCGCACCCCGGAAGAAAAACGGGCACGATGCCCCTCAGCTGTGCGAGAGGTACGGCCCTTGGACTCCTCCGTTGCCGCCGCGTACCCCGATAACACGGTCACCAACAGCCGTTACACGTTTTACAATTTTTTGTTTCTCAGCATCTTTGAGCAGTTCCGGAGGCCGTTGAACTTCTACTTTTTATTGGTTGCTTGTCTACAGTTTGTCTCTGTGATTGCGCCCGTTAGCCCCTTCTCCACGCTGGTGCCATTGCTCTTGGCCTTCTCCCTCACCTCCTTAAAGGAGGGGTACGATGACGTTAAACGCCACCAGCAGGACGCCAAGTACAACAACAAGAAACGCACCGTGCTGGACCCTCTTTCGGCGGCGTGGAAGTCGCGACCAAACTACCGCATACGTGTCGGGGACGTAATCCTTCTGAAGGAAGGTGAGTCCATTCCATGCGATGTGGTGGCGGTGGCGGCGACGTCGTCCACAGTTTATGTTCAAACAGACAACCTGGACGGTGAACTTGATCTAAAACCACGCGAAATTGTTTTTCCACACGTTGTCTCCTTCAGCAGTACGACGGAGGAGGAAACACCAGTTCCTTTGGACCCGAATCTTATTCACGTTTACGACACCTGTGAAGCACTCGTCGCAAAGCTGAGGAGTATCAAGCTGATATGTCCTCCGCCTTCTGCCATCATTGAATCCTTTGATGGACGTGCCGAATTTGCGTACAACTGCGGGAGTCGAGAGGATGCTGCCGCAATGTCGCTACCCATGTCCCACCACCACCTCTTACCGCAGTCCTGCCTGCTCAAAAGAACCACGGCTGCCGTCTGCGTGGCGGTGTACACGGGGGAGGAGACAAAGTGCGGCATGAACAAGCGACCTCCACCTGTGAAGTGGGCAAAGATTGACCAAGATGTCTCTCGGTACTCCATTTTTGTCTTTTGCTGTCAGCTCGTGAGTGCCTTTTCATTTGGTCTGGCTGGTTATCTTTTGAACAGGCGAGTTGAAGATCATTTTTGGTACTTGCAGCCACCGTCAAGTGAAGCAAGCGCTTCCTTCATCATCTACCCCCTCCGCTTCTTCCTCTTGACGACGGTGATGATCCCGGTGTCTTTCAAGTGCGTTGTGGACATGAGCAAGTACTGCATGGCTTTGTCAGTCGAGTGGGATGAAACGATGAAGCCGGCGGGGCAGAGCAGCCAGGGGTGTCGCGTGAAGAACTCTGACATACTTGAGGACCTTGGCCAGGTCGACTACCTCCTCTCCGACAAAACCGGGACACTGACACAGAATGTTATGGAATTACTTTACGTCACAGTGGGCGATGATCGCCTGTACCTGCACGGGGAAGCAACAGAGATGATGCAAAAATCCGATGTGCATAAACCAAATAATGAGCAAGTATTACACTTTGGACGAATTCTTTCCCTCTGCAACACAGTAGAGACTCTTCACACCAGTTCTCTCCTAACTGAAGATGATACTGCTCCGCCACTGTATCAGGCGGCTTCCCCTGATGAAGAGGCGATTTGTCGCGGGTCTGCCCGTCTCTTTGTTCAGCTGTTGCACCGCGACGCACGTGAGGCTGTATTGACCGTCAATGGCGTACAGGAAACTTGGATATTTCATCATGTATTTCCCTTTTCATCCGAACTAAAATCAATGGGAGTGATTGTGGAGGAGAAGGCGTCAGGTGTGGTGTATTTTTTTGTAAAAGGGGCGGATGATCGTATTATGAAAATGACATCCGCGTCGTTGCCACCGCGTCACTCCACAGTACTGCGAAGCAGAGAAGCGCAGATGGATGTGCTGACGTCCCACTTGGATTCTTACGCGCGGCAAGGCCTTCGGACATTAGTAGTGGCGGAGAAAAAACTTTCAAGAGACGATCTTAACGCGTTCCTAGAGAAGGTGAAGTCGGCAGAGTTGTTGCTACATGATCGACGGGAGAAGCTGAAACAGTTGCGTGTGGAGATGGAAACAGAGGTGTCCATTGCGGGTATTACCGCCATCGAAGATAAACTGCAGGAGGGGGTTCAGGACACGATACGTGATTTTATTCGAGCGGGAATTAAGGTATGGATGCTGACAGGAGATAAGGTGCAAACAGCCGTGCAGATTGGCCTTTCCTGCTCTTTGTACGCCCCAGGGGACCGTTTGATTTACATTGTTTCAGGAAATAAAACCGATGGTGCTGGATGGGAAGAGCATATGATGTCCATTCCTTTGCCAAGCCCGACAATTGTCGCAGGAGAAGAGGCAAGGAACTTTTCGCTGGGCGCAGAAATTCTCAATGAGGAACGAGGTCGCGGCTTGGGAAGTCTCTCTGATGCTGCCTGTCTGAAGGATGATGTTGTTGATGAAAATGGTCGATACGACACCATGCTGCCCGCCATCTCCCATAACAACCATTCGGTATTGGTGGTGGAGGGCGGCACAGTTTTAGAAAGTATTCTTAACACCCCCGAATTAAGGGAACGTTTTGCTGCCTTGAGTGATAACTGTGTTTGCGTTATATGCGCCCGCGTCACCCCCAGCCAGAAGGCTGCGTTGACACATTTTGTCCGCACCAGGGATTTCATGACGTTGGCGGTCGGCGACGGCGGAAATGACGTGGCGATGCTTCAAGAAGCCCATGTTGGTGTTGGAATTGTGGGCAAAGAGGGCCAGCAGGCTTCCCGCGCGGCCGATTTTTCTATAAATTGTTTTTCAGACCTTCGGGCTCTTGTTTTTGTGCATGGTCAGCAAGCCTACATACGTACGGCGTTTATTATCAAGTACAGTTTCTACAAATCCATGCTTATTAGCTTCATTCAGCTTGCCTACAACATTGTTGGAACGTACGCATCTGGAGGGACGTTTTGGAACAGTTTTGGTCTCACCCTGTGGAACGGCGTATACACGCTTCCTCAAACCCTGTTCTTTTGCCTGGACCGCATTGCTCCCCGCGCGGTTCTGGAACGCCACACATTCCTCTACAAGTTGACACGCCATGCCACGGACATGAATATCAGAGAATTCTTTCTTGTCTTTATCCTTCGCGGCATTGTGCAGTCTGTCTTCACGCTATGGCTGGTGACGGGCGTCTTTGGCATGCGCTTTGCATTTGCCGAAAACGGCTGGGCCGCCACCAATGACGTAACATTTACTGTGGCATACTCTGCTCTCATTATATCGCAGATGCTGACCATGATATTTGAGTCTCATTCCATTACGTTCCTCAACGCTCTTTGGATATTTGGGATGCCAGTCATATATGTTGCCGCTACCGCTGTGTACTCTTCCATTCCGCGGCTGCAATACTTTGGTGTGTGGAAGAATACAATGAACTTAAGCTCCTTCCTGGCGGCGCTTGTTGTGGCATGTGTTTTGGTGCTTCCTGTACTTGGAGTGCTGGTTCTGCGGCGAGCAATAAATCCAGATGTCCGCGATGTTCTTCGCACTGCCGCTGTGGAGAACCGGATGCGTCGGCAAATGCGGTGGAGAAGTGGAAGTTTTTTGTCGCGGCTCGGGCGTTGGCTGTTGTGTGTGTCGGAAGAGGCCTCCTCCTTGCTTCGTCCCCCGCCCCCGTCAGTGCTGGTGGGTGACCTTGGCCAAGTGTAGAAGTGGTGGTTGGTTACCTCGTCTCCTCCCTTCTCTTGCATACCGTATTTTGTTTTATGGGATGAGCAGAGGCTTGTGCTGGGCGGGCCGGAATGCTTTCTCGCTCCCCGCGGACTACTTCGTACGCGAGACTTGGTGCCGTTTAGTAGCAGTCACTCCATACATGTGCCTCAGTGTGTGTGTGAGAGAGAGGGAGGGAGGGAGGGACGGAGGCGGCGAGGGACTTGGGCGTCGTCAGTCTGAAAGAGACGCCAATGACAGTGCTGTTTATGCATATTCACCCTGTGACTTCTTCCTGCGCGATTGGTTTGCTTTGCTCTTCTCGTTCACAATGCCTTCCTTGGTGTGTGCGTGCGTATGTGGCATGTGTTTCTTCACCTCGTTCCACACAGGAAGCAAAACAAAGGCACAACGAAGGAAGGACCCATAACACGTGCACGTTGCATCGGGCCGTTCCTCAGGCGCATAAGCTTTGCATCTTCCCTCCTTACAGTAGGCTGTATTATTCCTATCTGCAGGGGTAGGCCAACACATTGCACAGATACAGTGGACGTAAGTGTAAATGTCCGTCCAGGTGCCACGCTGTTGGACCTGCAATGCCGTATTCGACTCCGTCGAGGCAGTGCGTAAGCACTATGAGTCTGAGTACCATACAAATAATGTTCGCCTTCGCGTTGACGGCAGGCGCCCGCTGACGACGCAGGAATACAGACGTGTCCGAATCGCGGAGCACGATGATGCCGATGTGGATGGACGACCGACTTTCGCATGCAAGCTGTGCAAAAAGACATTTCATTCCGTGCAGACTCTCCAAGCTCATGTTCGCTCAACAGCGCATCTCATGAAGAAGGAACAACGCATCATTGCACGTGATTCAGACGCAATGAGCGCTCTTACAAGTACCTCCTTGGGGAGTGCCGCGATGGGCTTGCACCGCCGTCACAATGCGAAGCGGGCAAAACCGCCAACCCAGGCAGCGAAAACCCGGTATGTGGAAAAGGTGCAACTGGATGAACGTGAGGAGGATGTCAGTGAGGTGCGGTGCCTCTTCTGTGGCTGCCTGTCGGATAGCGTGGAGGTCAACTTGCAGCACATGAACGATATCCATGAGTTCAGCGTGCCGCTTCCGCACAGGTGCCGTGACGTGGTAGGGCTCCTGGCGTATCTGGCTCGCAAAATGAACGGTCTCTTGTGTCTTGTTTGCGGTGAGAAAACTAGAGCGTTTGCCTCTCTAGAGGCGCTGCGGGCACACATGCGGGAAAAGAACCATGAGCGCATCATTCTTGGCCCAGAGTACGCCGAGTTCTATAGCGTGAGCCTTGCCGACACCGACTGCGGCGCTCGGATAGGCCCCAACGACACCGAGTTGGTTCTTCGCGACTCCCAACGCGTAGTTCAGCGCAGGGAGTGCGAGGTGCCTCGGCCAAGGAAAAAGGAAAGCGAAACACAAGCTGAGAAGCGACGTGCGATTCTTGCGGCTGATCAGGAGGCGATGGCAATGGCTCGGAAGGAGCGTCAGGAGGTGCTGCGTGTGCAAAACAAGGAGGCGCAAAAGATTTTGAAGCGGCAGGATGGCCAGTATCAGGATCACTTGCTCAGGGTGAATCTACGAACAAACAAGCTGCATCCAAAGGGGTACGATGGAGAAGGTAAGTTGAACTAAAGAGCAAAACAAACCACAAAGATTGGATCTTTTTTTAATTCCACACAGGCACACAAGCACCCACACACGTGTTTTCCTAAACTTATACGCTCTTTGGGAAGAGGGAATGAAGGCAAGTTTCATTTTTTCGCTTACAGTGGGAGGTGTGGGGGCCTGCTGGTGTATGTGCTGTTGTTTTTATTTTTGGCGTCATCGCTAACTAGTCTTTAACGCGGGGTCGTTGTTTACGTGTGTGTGTGTGCGTGTGTGTGTGCAAGCGTGACACCAAAGTTTTTAAGAGGCTAGTAACCACAAGATGCGGGAAATTGCTCGACACACTTAACCGGTGAAAGTCCCTATAATTTATGTCTGGCACCGTGGTTAAGAGGTGCCCTGACATTTGATAAATGAGCAGAGGAAGGAAAAAAAAAAAAAAGAGAGTTGATTATTGCTTCCTGTATCTCCCTCTTTGGAGGTACGTCGAATTTCTGATACCGAACTTTACTGTTTCCTCTTTTCACTAATTCGCTCTTTTCTTTTTTGTTTTGTTTTTTTTCCTCTGCATTGTTGGTGTTCGGATCTCGCGTTAAAGGCAAAATATATAGTGACTGTGGAACACTTGCGAATCGGTTTTTTCGTGGTGCTCGCGTTCTCAAGGAAAAGAGATAGTAAAGGCGCTGTGGATCAAGTTGGAGGCTCGGTTTACCTCCTTTTTCTTCCTTCTTGTTGGTGCTGTTTCTGGCGCAAAAAGTGCTAGTTCGCCGCACTCATGTGTTTCACCGTCTTCTTTACCGGGATTGGGTGGACTCTGGATCGCCTGCACAAGATTGAGCGACGCAGTGCCATTGTTTTTACCGACCCGTATGTCTTCCTCAGTGGGGGTTTAGCAGGACTCGCGGGGCGGGCCGCGGCAATTCCATTTGATCACGGGGGCATAAAAGGGCCTGCGCAGGCCTGCTATCGACGTATGCCGCAATTTGGACTTCTTATGTGGTTTTATGTTCCGTTGGCCTCGCAGTTGCTGCCTGGCGCCGAGCGAGAACCGCCGCTGAAGGCATTTACAACATTCATCCTTGGGGCCTTTGCAGGGTTTATGATGCGCCTCATATGTAATCCTGTCAATCGCGTGCGTGATGAGTGTCTCCGTACGGGTGATTCGTTTCTAACAACATGCAGGGTGTTCAAAAGCAAGACGGTGCTTCAGTTCTTTTACACTGCGCCTCCGCTGCTGGCCAATGCCGTTTATTTTGGGACACTTATGACCGTTTTCGAGGGGCTTCGCCGTTTTTGCGAACGTAGTAGACTTCTTCCTATGAATGTAGAGAAGGATGAAAAAGGGAAAGAGGTGTTTAAGCTTGGGAACTACGCCTCGGTGGCGTTGGGGAATACTGTGATTGGTGGTGTTGCCGCTGGTGTGGCATCGACGGTCTGCTACCCGCTCTCCGCGCATACCTACAAGCAGACTGTCATTCATGACTCTGCCATATGCCGGGGCCTCCTGCCAACACTACGAAAAGAGATACCAATGATGGCTGTTAGCTTCGGTGTTTTTTCCCTTTTGCAGCCTATCGTAGCGCCACATCACGGCACTCGCGTAGGATTTGGATATTAAACAGGACTTTATGCGTATGCGAGCTGTAAAGACACACGACGAAGCAATGACAAATATGTCGCCTCATTGTCTCCCATTCAGTTATTTGATCCCCTTAAATATTATTTTTCCTTCTTTATTTTTATTTGCTGAGGAGGCCGTGTATAGTACGAGAGGATCACTATTGATGCAAATGGAATGGGCAACGGGTGCGTTTCGTGAGCTGTTAGTATAGACTACTGGGGAGTTGGCTAGGGAGGGGAGGGGGAGGGAGGGGGGTTACGAGAAATGGGAAGAGGAGCCATTATGACTACTAATATGTCCCGGCTTTGCTGATGGAGTTAGCTTTAGAAGTTGTTTACGAGGAAATAATGTGGAAGGGATATAAATACGTGGGTAGCTGTTGAAGTCACTGTGGACCCGTGGATGTACGTGACGGTAGAGAGCCCTGTTCTCCGCTTCTTGTAGCCGTCGTTGGGAAGCAGGTGGATGTACGGGGTATGAAAGGCGGCTTGGTGGGTTTGTTTCTCTCGTGCGTCTGCGAAAGAAAAGGGAGGGAATGGGAGGGGGAGGAAATATGCTGCTTTTTTTCCTTCCAACCCCTAAGCCCATCTCTCCGTGGTGTTTTTGTGCGTGTGCGTGTGCGTGTGTGTGTGTGTGTGTCTGTGTGTTTTTTTATTGAGGGCCGCTCTCTGGGGGGTCTTCTTGCCTAAACATCTTTTTTATCTCTTTTTTTTATCTTCCTACCTCTTCCCGTCCCTCTCTCCCTCTCTCTGTGTGTGTGCGCGCAATGGCTGTTCCTCACTCCTTTGTGCGTGCATGAATGCATGGCGTTGCTGCCCAACTCTCTTCTTTCCACGCCTTCCCTCTCGCCGTGAGTTCAGGAGTTGCATCGGCTTGTGGCCACCGCCCATGGACAGAAGTCGTGGGTCCGATGATGCCTCGGGCTCCTGTGGCAGTTCTCCTAGACGCAGCTTTGCGTGTGTGGAGCGGGAAGAGGAGACGCTCCGGCGTTGGCCAATGGCGTCCTCAGTGAATTCTAGCAGGAGCGAGGAAGCGGACTTCTACAGCAACATCAGCACTGATGGATGGGATGCGTCACGAAGCACAGGACGTCTGGACTACACGAGAGATAATTCTCCGCTTCATTGCGGCTCTGTTTTCACCGATACTTCAGTTGACAGACTTGTTCATGGCGAGCGTCAAACCCCCTGCGAGGGCTCTCATGTATACAGAGGCGCCTCTTCCAGACGAGCTCCTCCTTCTGTCACCTTGAGCCTACCCAGTGAGTCTTTACAAGAGTGGGGTCTTCATGATGCAGAGGGACGTCCTCTTCAAGGGCAATACGGTGATGCGTATACGGCAGGGATGACCCAGCAACCGCAGCAGCAGCACGGTGATGGGGAGGCGGGAGAAGGGTCCGCCTCTTTTCGCTTTGAAGAACCCGAAACTTCGACTCCGCTGATCATTGAGCAAAGCGGTGCCAATCCGCAGGAAGAGGCGGTGGCAGTAGAAGTGCACGACCAAGGCGATGAACAAGCTGATGGAACACAGACGCGTTTGCCAGATGCCACCCCGGAAGCTCACTGTGCCAATATGGAGAGAATGAAATATGAACTTCCAGAGGATCCTCGCAATCTTATCATTGATGTCATTCTCAAGAGTGCTTCACCTAGTGTCACGCTTCAAGAAATCCACAACGCTCTCCAGTGGACTGAGCGGTTCGAGGCGGCCAATGGGAGTGTACTAGACTTCCTGCAAGGCTATCAATCTATCTTTGCTGTGTCACCCATCTATGACCGTGTCACGCTGCGTCGCCCCTTACAAACGGCAAAGGGTCGACGTACAGTACGCGATCATCGTGGACCCCGTGACATTTCCAGCGGTATAGGCAGCGTTAGCTACAGCTACGTCGCCACCGCCTTTGATCTTGACGCTCTGGCAGTGATTTACAAACGCCGCGGATATGATACGGAGCTTATGTACGGTGTTCTCCACGTCTCCTCCCATCGCACCTTTGACATCTTCTTGTTTCCCAACGGTGTGGTGGTGTGGTGGGGGTTGAACCGGCAGGATCACTGGCTGGTGGAAGACGATTTCTTGACCTCCGCCAACTCCTTTGTGCGGGTCGCAGTGAAGGAACGTCATGCGCAGGAGGTCATAAATGAATTGTTCCCATTCTGGTGCTCCTATGAGTTGGACAAGCACTACGACGCGAGTACGCCGTCTCGCAGGGAGGAGGCTCTTGCGCGGTTCGGCACCCACCTTTGCTTTGACCACTACCTTATCCCCGACGTCAAGCCCATCCGCACACAAATTATGCTCACAGTCTCGTACTCACTTGGCCGCGTCGCCGTTGTTGACTTTTTCGACAACGTCACGCAGAACCTGCACAAGCAGGTGTTAGGGATCCCATCCGACATTAAAGGCCTCTGCGATTACTTGTCGATGCGACGCAAAATGGTGCAGCTTGAGGGTGAAATTCTCCTGGCAAGCATGTCCATCTCGGCACTGCGCGACACACCTGAATTCCTGTGGGAGATGCCATGGCTGTATGACTATTATGAACTCATCGAGAGGCAGAATCCATCGGGTCAACTCATTTTATGGTTTATTGCCAAAAACGAAACTCTGGTGCAGCAGATGGCACATATCAAAACTAGGCGGTTTACTCTCTTTATTTTGGGCTCGGACGTCTTCCTGATCCTGCTGCTTGTGGCGGATGTTGTCTTCCTCATGGCGGGTTTTGTTCTCAAACTGTACTTCCCGCTAGAGAATTAGGCGGTGGAGATGTGGCGAGACCTTCCCGCGCGAAATAAGGCGGAAACAAAAAACAAAGCACCTGCACACACACACACACACACACACACAAGGATAAAACCTAAAAACACCGCGAGGAAGGCCGAGGGCACGTGGGTGGAAACAAACAAAGTGGCTAAGATAGGAGGCAAAACAAAAGCAAAAACTAAAAATAAAAATAAACAAACTCGCTCACAGCAAAAGTTTGCGTCCTGTGTTCGGTGGTATGTTCATTTATTCACACACTTCGTCCTCCTTGGAATTCAGTTGAAAGTACTAACTACCCTCTAGTAGTCTTTTGCAGCATGGGAGAGGTGCATTGTTTTCTTTTGTTTCTGATGTTTCCTCTGGCCGTCATCGCCGCCAACACTATCCTCAGCTTTTTTTTTCCTTTGTTTTTTCCCTCGTTTTTGTTTTGTTCTTCCTTCTCCTCCTCCCTGCCGCTGCCTCTGCCGCTCTCGCTGCTCCTTTCTTTGGCGTTTGCGCGCACGTCAAGTCATGTGTGCCCTGTCTTTTCTGTTTCTTTGCCACGTCTGACGCGTGCGAGGGCGCGGTAGTTAACGGCCGTGAAAGAGAAGATAAGGGAAGGGAGGGGAGGGGAGGGGAGGGGAGGGGAGGAGGCAGCCAAGCAGGCGAACGGAATGGAGGCGGCGGATATGGAGGATGCGTTTGGCGCCGACGCGATGCCATTGGGGGCGGCTGAACGCTTGGCCTTTGTGAACGCTCGTCGGCGCAACGTGCCACCGGCGCAGCGTCAGGACTACGGTGACGGTATCCCTGGCAATGCAACCGTGTTCGTGCACACCTTTGGCTGCGGCCACAACGTGAGCGACGGCGAGTACATGGCGGGGCTTCTGGCGCAGAGCGGCTACCGCGTTACCGACGTTTTCAACGGCGCGGATGTGTATCTTCTCAACTCGTGTACTGTGAAGAACCCTAGCGAGGAGCACTTCATCAGCATGATGAACCGCGTGCGAGCCGTGGGTAAGCCGCTCGTCGTCGCCGGATGTGTGCCGCAGGCGGATCCGAAGAACACACAGTGGGATGATGTGAGTGTGATTGGGGTCCGCAGCATCGACCGTGTTGCCCAGGTCGTACATGAAGCTCTGCAAGGTCACTGTGTGCGTCTTATTGGAGCGACGGAGCAAGCGAATAGGAAGCAAGAACCCAATGAGCTTCCACCGCTCGACCTCCCAAAGATACGACGCAATCGATTTATTGAAATCATTCCCATCAACGTTGGTTGCCTGAATCACTGCACGTATTGTAAAACAAAGCAGGCCCGCGGGGATTTGCGGAGCTGGCCTATCGATTCCATCCTTTCGCGGGTTCGTTCCGTTCTGAGAGAGGGTGTAAAGGAAATTCGTCTCACCTCTGAAGATGTTGGGGCCTACGGTATTGACATTAACACCGACTTTGTCTCTCTCTTGCGGGCCACTGTCAAGGAACTTCAAGGAACGGATGTCATGCTGCGTGTGGGGATGAGCAACCCGCCGTACCTCCTACGACAGCTGGACGACTTCGCGGCGCTTCTTAAGCACCCAAACGTGTATGAGTTTATGCACATTCCTATACAGTCCGGATCTAATCGAATTTTGGAGGCGATGCAGCGGGAGTACAATGTTGAGGAGTTTTACGAGTGTGTACGCCGCATACGCAGTGTGGTGCCGAATGTGACGCTTGCCACAGACATTATTTGTGCCTTTCCGGGAGAAGGGGAAGAAGAGTGGCGTGAGACGATGGAGGTCTGTGCTCAAGTCCGCTTTCCTGTTCTGAACATTACCCGCTTTTACCCGCGTCGAAACACACCCGCAGCGGCCATGAAGCAAATCCCCACTGAGGTTGCGAAGCGGCGTACCACAGAACTCACGGAGTTTTTCAATTCTTATCGCACCTTCGACCATATGATCGGCGAAGTGCACTCTGTGGCGCTGCTGGAAACAGCACACGACAAGCACCATCTGGTGGGTCATACAAAGGGCTACGTGCAGGTCCTTGTGGACCCGCAAGAGGCGAGAGTTGGGGAAAACGTCACCGTCGTCATCACCTCCACGACAAAGTACAGTGTGAGAGGTCGCGTGTTGCGCGGCCGCTGGGAACGGCTCTTGGCGAGGGCATCGATGAGCGCGCAGCAGATCAACTGGAAAATGCTGGCTGTCCTCGCTTCCGCTGCATCCGCATCGGTGGCAGTGACATCTGTAGCGATGTACAAGGCGGCGGTGCTGCGGAGACAGAGAAACGGGGTATGAGGGAGGCCCAACTCACCGTCCCACTCCGAGTTAACTATTTCCCATTGCCTTATATATTTAACTACAGAAACCTATATACCTTTAAATGGAAACAAGTTCCCCCAAACATTTTTCACATTCCCATTTTTCCCCTTGTAGTTCCTGTCTTGCCGTAAAGAAGTACCCGATTCTTGCTCTATATATGTATATATTTCCTGATTTGTCTTGTTTTTTTCTTGCACAGTGAACTTCCTTTTGTTTCTCCTTGATTGTCCCTTGTCTTCTTATCTTGTATCTGTCACCAGCAATTGGTTTCGGCGGATGGATGCTTTTCAGTCGGGCGCGCCGCGGCTGGCGGGTTGTGAAGGCGCAGGACGCAGGCCTTCTGAGGAGTACACCTCCCGCTACACGGTCGTGAAGAACTCATGGAAGGGGAGTTACATGCGCATCTTTTGCATCGGACCCCAAAAGGTGGCGACAATCAACCCGCAAAGTATCTTCCGCGTCACCAACAGCTGGGACTACACGTCTCAGCTCGTCGATGTCGTGGCTTCTGCAGGCAGCCTGACGGGCTTCACGGTCACCACAGGCAGAACAGGGAAGCCAGACACAATGAACTTTCACTGCAATACCGCCATGGAGCGTGCGGCGTTGCTCACGGATGTGCAACGAAACCGCCCAATATTTGATGTGAGGTACAGACAGCAGGCCTTTGCCCATCTGTTTTTTGCCCGCAAGTACTGCTTTGATGAGGGGTACCGCAACTGCCGTCTTCGCATCACAAACGTCGCCGTAGAGCAATTGAACCACGACGGAAATGTGGTGGGGGTGTATTTATTTATGCATATTAAAGGACTTACCTCAATTCAAGACAACCCACGTACCCTTGTTGTTCTGTACGGCCCGCAGCTAAAGATGCACCTGTATGAAATGGACGATCCTCAGCAGGTGGTCTCACTTACGGAGGAGTTTGCGAGGCGGTTTATCGGTCTTCCGCCCTTCCGTAAGGTGCGGCGGCTAACTCAGCAGCAATTTGACACCGACCGTCTTGGCGTGGATCGGGCGGAGTTGGCGCCGACGGCCGAGTTCCCTGTGATGAAGTGGAGCTCGAAGCACCCCGACACTCCCGTGCGGCGCACGTTAGCGACAACGCAAAAGTGTCTTTTGGAGCTGGATTCCTCCACATATACCCCCGTCAGTGTCTTCTTTTTCGCGGACGTGTGTGCGCTCATACGCTCTGAGGGGGACAACCAGGGGCTGATGCTTCAGTTCAAGGAGCCGGCGATTACGAAGCGATACACGTCCCCGATGCGGGATGCGCTGCTAGCACACCTCGTGGATTGCTGTCGCGGAGCCCGCAATCTTAATGTGTGTGTGATTACAAACCTCTTTGATCGCGGAAAGCGCGCGGCGCCGTGCGGGACGCTTATCCCGGAGGAGATTGAGAGTACACTCCTGAACTGCCTCATTGACCCTAGCAAGGGCGGTGGCGCGTTTGTCTTGAGTTTCCCAGAGGTGGTGGAATTTTTCAACGCCAACATCGAGTACAGTGGACTTCGCTTCACCGAGAATCGTGAGGGATTCTTTGCGGAGAACCGGGAAAAGATGATTTTTAGCGCCCTCGTCACGTTGTTAAGCAGGTTCCCCGTGAGTGATGATCCGTTGGTCGTGGTGCAGCAGTTTTATGCCCTCCGACGACTATGTGTCACTCGCATTGGGTTTAGCTCCGCCGCCGTCGTGCCGTCCTTTATGAAAAGCATTCAGTCTGTGAGTGTGAGAGCGCTAAAAATGAACAATGTTGCCGTTTCGCATGCGGTAATCGATTTCCTTGGCGTTCTCATGACACCCCACCACGACCACTACGAGTTAGGTCATGAGAAGGCGAACAAAAATCACCTACTCGGACAAGAGCAGCTCGTGCAGCATTTGCTTCGGCTGCTAAGCGACTACACCACAGCGGATAGTGCGGCTCTTGTCGTGCAAGCCTTGTTGGATTTCTTCGTTTACGCCTTGTGCCCGCCTTACTCTGAGTCGACAGAAGCCACATTATTTGTTTCCTTGATGAATGATTTAGTTGATACAGCAGGGACAGAGCTCCTTGTACTCATGCAGCATAGCTGCAACGCCATCAGCTACAGCGCTGGACAGCTGATTCGTGTGATCATGGAGGAGGGAACAAGTGAGCAATTCTTTGCCATGCAGCTGGCCGCCCTTCGCCAAGGTGGCATCCTTGGCCAGCTTCATTTAGCCATATTTGGTAACAACCGTGAAATACGTGATCTTGCCCGTCAACTCATTGCGTATTGGACCTACCAAAACACGGACATGCAAGATCTCCTGCGGTGCATATTTCCTCCGGCATTGTTGCACTACCTTCAATCCTCTGAGGATGCCCCGGAAGACGAGAAGGAAAAGGAACGCCAGAGGAGTGTTGTGGCCATGACGGATGAATTTTGGGAGTCGAAGATTGGGTTATTTAGGAAGCGGTTTCACCCGAGCGAGATCCTTTCGAGAGCTGGGGGTCAGCATCCATCCACGGCGCGGAGTGAGAGCGCGTCCAGGCGCCATAGAGAGGTGAAGGTGAAGACGACGCTGAACTGGCCCATGTTTTTCTATGAAATTAAACAGGACCACATGCGAGCGGAGTTGATTTGGAACCATACCACAAGAACGGAGTTACGTGCGGCCTTAGAAGCCGAGATGCAGGCCCTAAAGCTGGGAATGTCGCTACGTCAGGAGGAGCCCGTCTCGTGGAATTACCGGGAGTTCGAGGTGCGCTATCCAAGCCTTGACGATGAACTTAAGATTGGGCAGCACTACCCGCGTTTACTCTTTGAGATGAAAGACGCAGTCATTTCTAAGCCGAAGGATTTTTTCAACGACATGTATCATCGTTTTCTTCTCTCACAAGAACCCAAAACCAAGCTGAGTTGCTTGCATGGCATGTCGATTCTCTATGAACATTACGCCGCGGCTATTGGACAATTCAACGATCTGGAGTACATTCTGAAGATGCTGGAGACGACGATGGATCCCAACTTCCGCGACCGTTTACTTCTTTTCATCCTACAGCTGCTGCGCGCTCGACCCAACGTGAAGCTCTTTTTGGACTGCGGTGGATTAAACCCACTCGTGGATCTCTTAACACTTGCCCACCTACACGTGGACAGGCCCCAGCTTCGAAGTGCGACAAGCGCCATTGAGCACGTCGTCAGCCCAGGCGATCTTCAGGATCAAGAAAAAGAGTGGTACTACACAAAAGATGGAGTCAAGCAGGATCCCGTCTCCTACACCCGTCTGAAGCAATTGTACGAAGCAGCAGAGGTGAAGAATGATACAAAGGTTTGGGCGCAAGGATTACCAGGCTGGATGGAGCTAAAGGATGTTCCCCAATTACGTTGGGGTATTGTGGCAAGTAAAAGCAGTAAACTGCTCACGCTGTCAGAAGTGTCTGGGGTCGTCCTTGACATCTTTTCACTCCTCTGTGCAGGTTTCCCCTCCAGGGATGAGCACGGCGCCATCATGCAACCCCCTCCGCGGGTAAAGCGCTTCCTTTCAGGTCCACAGGTGCTTCCACACGTTGTGCAATTACTACTGACCTTTGACCCGGCCCTGTGTGCCCGCGTTCATTCGCTCTTGTACCTTGTGATGGAGTACAATCCGCTCATGCCCCGCTTCTTCTTGACTGGTGTGTTTTTCTTTGCACTCATGTACACCGGATCCGATATTCTGCCGCTATGTCGACTGCTGCATCTCTCGCATCGTAGACAGGCATTTCGGTTGCAACACGACAATGAGATTATAAGTCAAAGCATCCTTAGCACAATGCTCCCACCAGCACTCGTGTGCTTTCTAACAAATCATGGACCTCAACGGTTTGCGGATATTTTGCTTGGGGAATACGAGACCCCAGAGGCTATTTGGGGCAAAGATATGAGAAGATACCTTGTGGGGAAGATTGCCGCTCACGTTGCCGACTTCACACCACGGCTTTTGGGCAACAACCGTGCTGTGTATCAGTACTGTCCTATCGTGGGTGTCGTGTACGAGCCGCTGCGAGATGAACTGTTTTGCTCCCAGTACTACCTGCGCCACTTCTGTGACGAGTTGCGGTATCCGAATTGGCCCGTCGAGGACCCTGTCTCCCTCCTCTGCGAGGTGCTGAAGGCGTGGCGGCGGGAGCTTGCGAAGCAGTCAAGTGGTCTCACGCGCGACGGGTGCCTGGAAGAACTTGAGATTGTTGACCGCACCAACCTGACACCGCAGGTGGTGCGCAAGGCTTACTTTAGGCTTGCCGCGCAGTATCACCCGGACAAAAACTCGGAGGGGAGGGACAAATTCGAACGCGTTCAGCGGGCCTACGAATTTCTCGCTTCCGACGCGAGGGCGTCGAATGAACCGAACCCGCACAATGTTGCGCTTTTACTTCGAACGCAGTCGATTCTGTTTAGGCGATTTAGTGACGCGATGAGGGGGTATAAGTACGCGGGGTATGGGCTGCTGCTGAAGCTCGTCAGCATGGAGTACGGCGACCCAGAAATGCTGCACAAAGATGTGGTGCTCATCGAACCCGCGACAGAGTTGTGCTACTTTACTGTGCAAAACGTGCCACTGAACACCGACGAGTTGCAGGAGGAAGGCGGCATTGAACTCTTGTCAGGTGTCACCCAACGCTGTTTTGAGACGCTTACCCTAAGCGCCACCGACGACTTAAACCAGGTGAAGGTTGCGCGACATTGCATGCTTACTTTTTGCGTCGCCGCAGCGTTCCCAGACTGTCGTCGGCATATTATAGCGGAACCTGCCATCTGTCACCTTGCCGCCAAAGGCATCGCGTACGAGAAGGCGCCGGCACTCTCTCGCGCCTGTATTCAGGCCTGCCAGGCTTTCTGTGTAGACGAGACTCTGCAGGAACGGGTTTTAAAATCTGGTGCCATTTGGCATTTGCTGCTTTTTCTCTTTCGCTACGATTATACCTTGCATGAAAATGGACTTGAGCTTCAGGAAGAACATCATACTCAACTGTTTGCAAACAGGGCAGCCATTTACGCCCTGCAAGCCATCTATGCCTTGGCTGGAATTTGTCCGAGTGACGCATACCTGCAGACGAAACCCAACGCTGGCATTCTCCACTTGCTGCAGAAGCTACTGACACCTTACGTTGTGCAACGCATGCGACTGTTTCCAGGGGGTGAGAAGGATGTGCTGCAGCTACTCAACAGCAACCACAAGACACCGTATTTGCTGTGGGACAACACAACACGAGAGGAGCTCATGGAGGTGCTTAAAGCAAACTCGGAAAAATGTCGTGAGGCAGGAATGTTTAGCGAGGATCTTCCATCCTTGTCAGACTGCGACGTTCGTTATTCTGTTCACAGGAATGAACTTATTGTCGGGGGAATGTTTGTGCGTGTGTATAATGAGCAACCGAGCTTTGCTGTGGAGGACCCGGTGGCGTTTTGTGGGGCCCTGATCAAGTTCCTAGAGCATCAATTAACAAATAATACTACTACCGGTGTCGCCGTAGCGCTGGAAGCTTTGAAAAATTTGTTAGTTGCTTATGCAGCACCTGGGGTCTTGAGCACTTTGGCGCAACACGTTGAGGTGTTGATAAAGGGCTTACTATATACCGATGTTCACGTTATTGTGAAGTTGCTAGAACTGCTTGAGAAGGCTGCGCTTCATTGTGAATGCCTCCAGGCGATTGGTAAGGTTAACTATGCCATGGCATATCTCATCTTGGCGTGGGATCATGGTGGTGAGGCGGTGGAACCACGCTGCCTGGCGTTTTTGCGCGCTGCTCTTGCGGATCGTGGTGTAGTACAGCAAACATTGGATCGAGGCCTGTATGCTGTGCTGCTTCGCAGTTTTGGGACCGCCACCTTGCCAGAGTGTAGAGATGATGCTTGTGCCTCTCTTGCAAAGGCCTGTTCAGATAAGCTGTGTGGACCCAAGATGTTTCTGCGGGCCTCCAAACTCGTTCCTTCTGTGATACTTGAAATGATGAAGGAAAACACCGTAAACGCCTGCCAGCTGTTTGACACCTGGCAGGAAACACCAGAGTTGGTGTGGACGAGCGAGCGTCGGTCACGCTTTGTGGAGGTGTGTAAAGCATGTCAATCTGATATTGTGGATCTACTACGACACGATCCAACGGCCTATTGGAAAATGCCAGAGAACATTCTCATGGAGGGAACTGCTGAATTGCAACTCGGTGGGGTGTACTTGGAGCGGTACCTTAACCAGCCGGGGTGGAAGGTGCGAAAACCTAAGGAATTCCTTGCAGCACTCTTGGAACGCTTTCTAGTGGAGTGTGGGCGAGCGACGGAGGAACGAAATGCGGAGGTGATTTCTCTCATCGCAGACTCCGGTGTTCGTCTGCTACAGATGACCCCCACAGTGACCGACTACGTTGTCTCACTTGGGTATGCGCACAAGTTGTTTAACCTATTGGAGTTGGGAGACAGGGTGGTCGCGGAGAATGCCCTGAAATGGGTGCATGAGATCTGTGCCTCTCGCTTCTGCGTCGAGAGTCTCGGGAATTTTGACCCCGTTTCTTCCATCCTCATCTGTCTGCGGGCGCAGGTGCTGCAGCTTCCGCTAATCATGGACACCATGGATCGACTACTCTCGTGGTCTTCTGAGCTGGCAAACATGATCCGACTTGCCCTCCGCAATCAACTCCCGCAGTATTTGCTGCAGCTTCTTGAAGAGGGCATCACACCAGAGACGTGCGGGGACCAATCACCAGCGGCGGTGCGGGCTTTAATCATTAAAACGCTCAAGACGATGGTGGCCGTCCAGGATCCTTTCCATGGCCCCCAGTTGGAGGCTATCCTTTCTGAAAGCAAAGTCTGGGTAAAGTACAAGAACCAAAGCCATGACCTTTTTCTCTCTGACACACGCTTTGGCGGATACTTGGAGGGCCCCCATAACGCAACTCAGATGTTGCTCTCGCTCACTGCCGCACCCCTACCAGATGACAGCAACGGCGATGAACCTCCACCCCTTTAACGTTTTTATTATATATATATATATATATATATATATATTCCTGAGAGGCGAAGTAGGTGACAAAAGAATTTGCTTCTAGCAGTTGCAAGTTTTCTTGTTTTCGGGTGCGGTGTGGTAAGGGGTGTTTTCTTTGTTTTTTTTCTTGTTGTTGCTTCCTTCTTGTGTGTGTGTGTGTTTGTTTGTCTTTGTCCTTGGTCACATTATGCGGAGTCGTTGGCCTTAAGCACGTTTCTTTTTCTTTTTAGGTTCTTGTTTTCATTTTACTTCTGCTGACGCGTGTGGTTCGCCTGCGGCGCCCCTGCTATGGCGTGTTATCTCCTCTTCACCGTTGCCTCTTGCTTCTACTCTCCACACAACAAATATCCCCAAGTCGAGCAAGTACTCCTTTGAACAAGTTCGCTTCTTTTTCCAAGAACAAATTTCGAGGACGATGCAGCCACACACTCCCACGTTTTCCGACGAGCGCTCAGAGAACAGCGTTGGGTTCAACAACGCCTCTCGCTACGGCCGAAGGGGTGTGGACTACAGCAAGTTCCGTACGCGGGTGTGCCGCAATTTTTCGATGGGGGTCCCTTGTCCGTTTGGCGAGCGCTGCGCATTTTCCCATGGCGAGCCTGAGGCATCCGCGGTGCGCATGGAGGAGACCGAACTGCCGCCGCCGCCGCCATACTCGGAAGCCCACCAGACGGAAATGATGCTGCCCCCCGCCTACCCGTCGCGATTCCGTCACGATCCCTACAACTTCAATGGAGTGTTGTTCGAAAACTAGAGACGAGTCGAAGGGGACAGAGGAGCTTAATTCCCCGAGCCAATCAAAGAGGGCACTGCAATGAAACAAACGCCGTCACCGAGCAATAAGTCAGTGGAACTGAGGAGGCAGCTAGCACACAAAACATGCCTGTACATGCGTTTAAGGGATGGAACGGAAGGGACGGACCAAAAGGAGCACATAATTAAAAAAATCCTTCAGGAAAATGTTCCTCGATGAAAAATTATACCGTGTTGTACCAAATGTGCGGGCGGAGGGGGAGGTAAACGCAGAAACTAACATAAACGGCACAGGGGAAACAAAACGAGGAACCGTAAGAAGCGAAACGAAACAAAAAAAATGCAGGGATGGTAAACACTTGTACGCTAATTAGTTTTGCGGCGGTGTGTTGGAATGCAAAAAAAAAAAACCTGTATTGGCGACTGCGTGGGTGACCCAATGAGGAAGTTAAGAACAAAGAAAGAACGCATTATGGAAAAACGGGTGGGCGGGTTGAGTGCTACAGTTTTTGGGGCTGCAGATTGGAGTTGATTTGTTGGGGCCGAAGAATAAGAGAGGGGTCAGCGACAAGGGCGTGTCTGGCAGGAATTGTTTGTGCGTTAAGTCCGAGGTGCGGTGCCCACTTTCTGAGAGGGTGTATCTCGAGACGAGAGAAAGAGGGAGAACTGGAAATGAAGAAAGTCCCGAGGAGTGTGTGGAGGTGCTTTCCTCGCCCATGCACAGATCCTTCAAACCTCATTCACGGAAGCCAAATCGCCCAATCTGTCACAAACCCAAACAATCGCCTCGTTTTTATTTGATTTTTCCTTTTTGGTGTGTTTTCGTCTCAGTGTTCCCCATCCCATACAAATGAGCCGCTTACTTGTTGCTGTGCAACCGTCGCACCGCTAGGCCCGAATTTACCCCTAAGCTATAGAGATGTTTGTGGTTGTGCACTGTCCTCGCCTCGATTCACATTTGACTTCACAAACTCGAAGGTGGGGCCCCATTCCGCGCTTTGTTACTCTTTTTATGATTGGCTGACTTTTCGTTTCTTTTCTTTTTTTTTCTTCTTTTTTGTTTACCAGTCCATCATTTTTGTTGTTTTTTGTTGTTTTTTGTTTTTTTGTTTTTTTGTTTTTTTTCTCTGCTTTCCGTGTGCGTTGTCGTTTGCATCATTTTTCTTTAGTGCTTTTGTGTGTGTGCCTGTGTGTGTGTTTGTGTGTGTGTTTGTGTGCTACTTTTACGTTCGGGGACT